ACACACACACGCACACACAAGGTTGGCCCACCTTTGAAAAATACCCAGGTGCAGAATGTGTGTCCAGGTGAGAGACTTCCTGCGGATACGTCCATCTGACAGGTACCACAAATAACTGAGCCACTGAGGACCCCAGCCTGGGAAACAGAGAATGAAACAAATATAAATACAATATCTATCTATCTATCGCTATCTATCTGTGGTAGTCCGTAGGTGCTATCTATCTATCTAGTCGTAGTGCGTATCTATCTATCAGTATCGTCTATCGTAATCGTACGACACCTTCCATCGTCACTGAACGCTGTTTGTTCCGTGTCATTCTAAAATAAGCATCAGCCTAACATTGGTTCCTGACGTTGATGTCTATCGGTCTCTGAAATTAGAGAGAAACGCCAACGGCGAAACCAGGTATAGGTAATTAGTGACCTCCAGACTATTTCTGTTGTAAATATAGATTGATGTCCTGCTGTTGTCATCTCACCTGGCAGCAGGAACAGTGCAGTGAAGCCAGCAAGATGGGCATAGCAGTAGTTGTGACCCACCCACAGGTAGTACACAAAGCAGTAGATCACTGGGGAAAGAGGGGGAAACACATGTATACTCAGCCCATAAACACAAAGAAATGCTTAAATCTACTGACCAGTCTGGATTGCTACAGCACAAAATTAGAACTACAGTCAAACAAAAGGTAATAATGAATCATGATGGGTCAGATAGACTGCGTGGTTCTTGCTGTTCTCGCTCAGTCTGCTAATAATGTTATTATATAATAACATTATAATATGGTTTAAAGTAAATCACATTGGGCATATTTGGACCTCACCTGCACCAAAACTGTATGCCCATAAAACAGACACTGTAACGTATTTATTATTTAAAGTAGGCATGTAAATATGAGACACATAAGTTATAGTGCATAGACTACAAGTGTTTACATCAGGGCCCACACTTTTTCATATGACCTCTGTTCTGCAACCCATCTATGGTTTATTGACAACAAGACTGCTTCCTCTTCTCCTCTCCTCACATACAGACCGATCTTCTCCACATCACACTGCCCTGCCTCTCTGCACCCCCTCCATCCTCCACACATGTAATCTGAACCGTTATAGATGCCAAGCAGGCGGGCTGTCCGGGCAGACTAGGCCCCATACATCCTGGGGTACGCCCATCCCATCGTCCATTCATGCACTTCCAATAAAAAGGGCGCTTAAATATGACAACATGGTCAAGACTCCGCTTTGTTTTTAGGCACGAAAGATCCCACAGAGGCTGAAATGGTGCAGTTTGAAAGATGAAAAACTCTGGCATGAGTCTGCAGTTTTGCTGCATACGGGATTTCATAACAGCGTATAAAAATAGGAAAGAGGCGCACTAGTGCTGACTGCAGACTCTGGTCTGACTCTATTATTCATGACAACACAACGAGAGAGACCCGCCGAAGTGAAACAAGCGTCCAACTTTGTGTATTATTGTATTTGGTTAAAATACACAGCCTGTTTCGTGTAGAATATGCGAATATATGTGTCTCCCGGCCGCTGTCGCCCTCCCACACTGTACATCCACTGTGGCCAAAAAGGCACGCACACACATGCACGCGCACGCCAATAAAGTCAAATAACATATAACAAGGGATGTGCACGGGCATATACCAGCACATTACAGCCCACCGAGACAATAGTGACACAATTCTCAGTTTGACTATTTGTGTGCGGAGTGTACTTATGTATGTGTGTGTGTGTGTCCCAGGTAGGACTCACGCGCCGTCCTCTCTGCAACGATGAGAAATGCGGTAAAGGCGAAGACGCAAACTTGGCAGCACGGCATGCAGGCGCCTGCGTTGCTCGGAGTCGCTGAGTAGTCCCTCATGGCGGATTGAAACGCTGAACTCAGATATACAGTGGCATCAGTGTGCGGGTCTGCAGGTCGGTGTTGTTCTGGTCCCGGGCGGGAGTCGGTCCAGCTGCGGCAGACGGCCTCCTCTCTCTGCTCCGTGTCCCCGTCCCAGCCACCCCGCCCGTCCCGTTAAAGCGATAGCACTGGGTACCTGAGTACCAGACAAGCTCATACAACATGTTAGGCCTGATTTGTGTAAAGTGAAGTTATAATTCAGCATTAGTGTGAGATACTGAGTCTTGTTTGTGTTTGGCATTTTCTCCTTTTTCTCTTTCTTCTCCTGTTTGTGTCTCATGAATCCTGGATGTTCAGGGGTTTTATGCCTCCATGTAAGGTGACTTTACTAATTTAATTATTAGTCACAAAGATGCTCATAAGTAAGTTTGAAATGTTGCGTCATTGCATCAGTTTTCACGAATCTAACTGAATTTGTCAACAATACAATCATTTCTAATTCCCTCTACAGTAACAGGTATGAACATTAGAGGGCAGAAGGACAACACTTGTTATGCCTTCTACAGATCAGTGTGATTTAAGTAAAACCATGAAGATTAAGTAACAAAACTTATTTTTTAGGGAAATATTGGAGTTCATGGGGGCTAACATTAAAGCAGCTGAATTGAGCCTTAACTTATTTTTATGATTATAAAGTTATTTTTTACAACATGGATCATGTTGGGTCTCTCCACAGATATAAAAACATGATTGCTTTCATTTTGGCTACTACACATTTCTATTTACTGACTCATCTATTTATTTTAATTGTAATTATCTGATTTTCTTGTTTTCTTTCTCTCTCTATTGCCTTTGATCTTCACATTTAGCTGTATGTGAATAATAAGAGTTGGTTGGGGAGCAGGCAGGGGCACCTTTTGGACACCAGGGGGAGTCTGACTCCAATAATTGATCATTCTCAGAGAACATGAATATGCACAGTTAACATAGATTTTAGTCCATTACCTCACATACTTGGGTTTGTTTTGTCCTAACAAATACAAATGATCATATTTGTGTGTTGAAGAGTGTATAACCTTTACTGGTTGGTAGGGAAACCTGCATGGTGGTGATATTGGGGGCAAAACGTCTGGCACAGTTTCTCAGTGTAATTCTGAAATGTTTGATCAAAATGTCCATGTCCAATGTCCAATGTCCAAGGCCCAGGTCCACGGCCCAGGTCCACCTCCAGCACCATGATATATTGTATATGTTTATGTCTGTGCTTTCTATTATTGTGTTTATTGCCCTCTGACACAATGCCTTGACTACTTTGGGTCTCTAAACCCACAAAAGTGTCCTGTCCACCATGGTGCCCTTGACCTCTGGGTCGGCTGTATTTTTGGCATTTTGACTTGACACTCTGGATACCCAGTGCCGGTCCCATCGTAAACCTTTCCTTGGGTTTAGGGTTTTTGCTTCAACCTCTGAACTGACTGACCTGGACCACAGACACCTTGCTGTGCTACATTATATTTGGTGGAATTCAAAGTTCATTGTTAATACTGAAATATTAATGTGGTGGCAAGAGAGTGGCATGGAGACTTTATGAGGTGGCAGAAATATTATGCTGATTTAATCACAAACAGTCACATATATCAATATTTGCTTTCCAAAGCCCCTAAATTAAGATATTTGAATTGAAAAACATTAGTAAAGTATTAAATATAAATATATAAAGATGGAATTAAAAATCAATAAATTGCTTTATTAAGTCTTTTTTCTTTAAACCTAAGCTTACTTAGTCTAAAATGTGGCTGTGTTTATTTACATTTTTTACACATTATTTAAATTTTAATTTGATAGCATTTGATACCATACTGGGGTGCCAACCCTCAGATCTGCCCCTGTGACTCACCTAACGAACCACAGCCCATAATCTCTCCACACAGCAGCTGAAATATCTGTACAACTTACACAAAGACACTCAAAAACTGTTAAAGAAATGTGAACCACTATATTTCATTTTATTAATGGATTTTACTCAATAATATGTACAGAAAACAAAAAAAGTTTATTATTTTTTTCCAGCTCATTATCACATGAGCCAAAGCAAGGCCGCATGATCCTGTCAAACATGAAGACCTGCTGACCTAATGTGCAACAACACCTACTGATTCAACCTACAGACCATTTTGTGTCCTTCCTATAAGTGTGCATTCACTTTATCTGGGGATGCAGAATTACAGCAGTAAAAGCACCAGTATGTGTAAATACATCTCAACACGGAGCAAATGTCTCTCCCCATTTTATTCTTCTGTATTTTATGTTTATGTTACGTTTATATTGTGATTTATGTTACGTTTAATTTGGGTTCCAATTAACACCACTTGATTGTATCAACTTTACAAACAAAGAAAGGATGAGCTGAGAAATGTGTAACAACACAGTATTACCTATATTTGAATCCATACACTCATGAAGAGCTGCAGCACAATGCCTCATCTGTACAAGCTCCAAGTTTCTTAAAAGCACCTGTTAAACATTTGATAAGTTATAAAATTCCTTTCACCAAAAGCCACTTTGTGGCAGCAGTTACATATTGCAGTGTGTGCTCTGTAGGTTCGTTGTGTCTTTACTTGTTGGCTTTTTTGGAGCACGAGGACATTCTTCCGCTAAACACTTCAGTGTCATCCTGTATTGAAGGACTGGGTCTTCACAACTCATATGTTTTCCTTGTTGTTCACACCATGGAGGGGACTGCTCCGGGCAGTGCTGTCAGTAATAGTTTGATCTCTTTGGTGCAGTGCAGACAGCGCTCCCAAGAGTATGCTTTATGTTAATTTCATCCAGTGTTTTTTTCCCCCATTTGTTTACTTATTTATTCACCTTTAATCCATTTGTTTGCCTGCTAGATTATGTGTCAATAATATCTGTTGAGGCTTTGAGTGACTGTACTGATGTCTGGTTGTCCGTTCATCCAGATCTCTCGGAGAATCCTTTCACGCTCTTCTAGCCGCTGGGCCCGGTCCAGCTCTGATGATACACACAAGCATAACAAAGGGTTAAAGCATGCCCACACACTGTCCATTCACATAACCATCACATTTCACTATTGAGGAGACTTTCTATTTAAAGTACGAGCATGAGTGTGTATGTGTATGTCTGACCGTAGGGCCCAGAGATATAAACAGTCTGTGAGTATGAGCGTGTGTATAAAGATGAACTGACACATTATTAGACAAAACTCCAAACCATGGAAAGGAAAATGACTCATAGTGATGTCTCTGATTTTGATACCAGTTTCTTTAAAACAGCTTCTCTCAGTAAAAATATGCATGTATCATAATAACTGCAATGTTCATCTCAGCTTGTCTACTGTTTTTTAATCCAAAGATCACAACATAAACTGGGGACATAATTTAGCTAAATGTGGGCACAGATTGTAATCGGCCATGTTGTGGTAAAAGTATTAAGATATTTTATGTATGTAAAAGAAGCAATGCCACATAACAATGCATTACTGTGCAAGCTCAATACATCATATCTATAGCTTTAGATTGTGTTAAAAGTACAATATAATAGAGAAGTACATGCATTCCATGAGATATACTGATGGCTGCTGTCTTCACATGTATGTCATATGTGTGTGTCAGTGTGAGAGATACCCTCAGCTGATGTGAACATGGTGGCATGCAGCAGAGCTCTCTCAAAGCGTCTGCGTCTCCGTGCCGATAGGTCAGACGTGTCATCCCAGTCCTCTGATTCGCTGTCCCCAGCAGGCCCAGTCCCACCAGAGGTAACAACAGCAGTGCTGTCTGGATTACTGTCAATGGGCTGATGGTGGGGACAGCTGTGATGACGACGGTGATGATGTCTGTTCCTGTGGCGTTGGTGAGGGTGGTTACTGTTGCCATAGTGGCAGTCTGCTCGGCAGTGTATCTGGAAGACGATGGCACAGAGTGTGACAAGAAGGCCGACGCAAACACCTCCCAGAAACACTAATGCTGTCCTCTCTGGTTGGTCTGAGAAACAGAGAGGATGAAAAGTTTTTAATACAACAAAATGTTTAACATGGTTTGATATATGAACTGCTTTTCATATATCAAAGTGTGATCACACACAGACACATATAAGAGTTTTTCTGTTTGGACCTACCTGCAATGAAGGTGTAAGCTGCCAGTATGTTGCTAAGCAATGCCATCTCCTGGGATACCACCGTCACCTCCATATTTGGGCTTCCTGTTGTTGGAGCACTCATGATGTCACGACTTATTGTATTCTCCTGCAGGGATCAGTGGAGCTCATACTTTATGACCTCCCTGCATTGTAGGTTTGAGGGGTGGAAGAGAGGGAGCAAGAAGGTTTAATTAATAATGCCTGAAGTCTCACTCCTCTTCTACCTGCAGATTCCCACCCAAACATGAAGATTAACATCATAATAGCATAAAAACACCAATGATCTGGGTTAGCAGTGAGTTACTGCAACCTACCTTGTCATAGTCATCTAATATAATGTAAAAATGTCCCTTTTTAATGAAATTATAGTAATCCTGTTACTCTCTAGAGATTTGTGTGATTTGGGACTCACAGGCAGTGTTATTCATGGGAACCAACCCTGCTCATAGAAATGATACATAATCTATGTATGTTGCAATATTGAAGTGTGCTTTAAGAAATATGCTCTTGTAGACATTGTATCACCAATCATTTCTCCTTATCCATGACTGAGACATGTCTTGTGTAGAGACAAGATGAGTTAATTATAGAGTACTTTGGAATCTCTGACGCCTTACCCCTTAATCTATACATCACGTCTCACTTTCCCCCTCATTATAAACATGCCTGAGCTGTTAGCCTGCAGGGTTCAGTAGGAAAGACAACCATGAGGCTTGAGGATACTTAAAATCAATCAATAACTCAGTGTAACATGCCTATACCCTCCTCTGGATTGTGCACACACACACACACACAAACACACACACACACACACACAACAACAACACACACACACACCACACACACACACACACTGTGGACACATAATGTTATCTGTGGACTATTTACACAGGATTCAAAAACCTTTGAGCCTTCGCTGTGCTAGGGATATACAGGTAGGGCTGGTACAATATCATTATTTGTCTAAATAAATAAATAATGATTTATAAGAAGGTCAGGCTCTTCATCATAAGTAAGCCTGAGTCTTTTTGAATCAAGTAAAAGGTAAATAAATTCCAGTCTGTCTCTGGAGATTATAACTCAACCAGTAGGTGGCAATAAAGAGCCATCAGCCAATTAACTTACTTTTTGTAGGTTGTAAATAGAGTCAGTTAGATCAAGATGTAACTGACCTTGCTGGTGGACACACACACACACGCACTCACAGGCACATTACGGATGTGGTGTTGCTGTCAAAGCCAAGCTGTTGTCATGGACCTGGGGTGGACTTAGGTCAAGTAAAATGTCTTCCTGGAGATTTTGATGAAGCAACACAGCTGTTTAAGGGGTTTAGAGTTTTTTCCTGCTGCTTTGAAAGGTCTTAACACTCAGTTACTGTAAATGTCTCTTGTGGGCTCAAACAAAAATCACAATTGAAGCCTTGACTCTGGTTGGTTTTTCACTGTTCTGGCTGACTCCAGCATGTTGATTTCAAATGAATGAGTCTATGAGGTGAAAATATTGTCTTTCAGCTTTAACTACAGGGTTATCTAGACTGTGTAAGCAGTGTAAGACTTGTAGGTCTTTTATTCTTAGAGGATTTGTTTGAAAAGGGCTGCAATCTGTACAGGGTTTATTAGAGGTTGATGCAAACACCCTCAAATTACAGAATCAAGAGAGTGTTTACATCCATCATTATACTGTTTAGAAATATCAATTTGTAAAGCCACAACCAATGCTTAAAATATCAAGATATATATATTTAGCCTTCTTGTCCAGCTCTCATTTAGCTGTACTGAAAGGAAAATGAGACATGGACCTAATATGCAAACATGCATCCATGAGCCTGGATATATTGTGCTTGTTTTAGGGACAACAACACTGTATCAACTAGTGCCACATACCACACCGTTTATTGTCTACACTAATGTGCAACACCAAGGTTAAATGTAGAGTAGAGCTAGTTTTATACAGCATTGTGTCTAGACATGCAGCCCCACACCCAGACTGGAACTCCCCCATACACACTCAGGATTATACCTTCAGTGTGTGTTACTTATTGATGGCTCTGATGTTAAATGTAGAGTATCTTTAACTCTGCATGTCCAGACTGTCTGATGGTAGAGAGAGACTAAGAGAGATGTCAGAGGGGAAAAGGAGTCTAACAGAGCTGAAGTCCTGGAAAGGACCCAGGGAGATCCCTTATTCTCTGAAATTAAAAGAGAATTGAGAAGGAAATGGGAAGAGCAAGGAAAGCGAGGAGACTCCACTGTGTCTGCTTTTCTTTCTTAACTACTTTCTAACCAGATCTGCTCAGATTAAGGGCTCCAAAGAGACTTTAATGGAAAAGGTCTGATCACATTTCTTTATCTTATGGAATGCTTCCTTGATCGTTTCGCTTGTGCTCCAACTTACAAGAGTTTAAATTGTTCAAATACATCATGTTTTGGGTTTGATGGTCTGCTGTTACAAGTGATAATAATAAAAACACCTAAACAACAAGTCTGAGGAGTCACAAGATGATTAACTATTACCAAAAAGTACATATTTCTGTTTGTTCTTTTAAATTTTACCTCTTCATTCTTCCAAAAACCATTAAAATTAAACAATCTGAAAGTCTGTTCCTGCTCACAGTTTATGGAAACACACCCAAATGCAAACTTCAATAAAGTAGGTTGGTAGTAGATGATGGTCATGAGCCAAAAAGGTTGGAAATAAACCTGACTACATCAGCTAGTGCACCAATTAAAAGCTCACTGTCACACACTGTAGTTACAGTTTTGTGTACCAGTGTAAGAGCTGATAGAGCAAGAGTGTCCATATTATCATCACTTATTGGGTTCAACAACACTCAAATCCTGTAAACATTTACAATCCCCTTTAAGCATTTTCAAAGATAAACGAGAATCTGTGTCCTAAATTAGTTTTACTCTCTTTATCTGCACAATTGTAACATTTGAGTTAAGCAACATCAGCACATATGAGTGAAATTTCAAATCTGAGAGCTGTGCTTGAAGCGTGACTCTATAATTACTGTGCAGCCCCTCGGCAAAGGCTTGTATTACTGACATTCTTCATTAACATTTCGTAATGTTTTTAACTTTTGAATCTCTTCTTCCAAACAAAATTAAACTCTGTAGTTGTCAGCGTTAATCCTGTTGTGAAAGAACAAACAAAGTAGAGCAGGGTTAAAAGGACGCAGACATTGATTTTCTCTTTTTGTGGAGCTTTTTTAATTTCATGAACATGTTATGATTTCCCTAGCTGACAGCTTTAAGCAAATCTCATTACATGTGAATGTGTTCTCATTATGAGCTTTTTGCATCATAACTCTTTATTAAGAATCGCAAACAGGGCTAATTACTTCATGAAGACATATCAGACGTCACGACAAACAGCCGCAAATGCTTCTTGTTGTATTATTATTCTTTGTCCTTATTTCGTTCTTTCCCTTTTTTCTCATTCTTTATATATGTTTATAAATTTAAATATATTTACTCATAGTTATTACTATTAGCATTTTCATTCATTTATTCTCCTGTTTTTTTCTTTCATTCCCAACTGCCTTTTGTGTTTGGTGAGCTAGTTTTGTTTTTCACAATCTCAATAAAAAATTTATAAAAAAACAAACAGGAAATGTATCTTAATGTGAAAACAAAATCTTAAGAAGGAACAGTCTTTAAGCTTCTATGTCTAAAACTGCAGAAGTACAAAGAAGCCAAAACCTGCATGCTGTACTCTCATGCTGTGTATCTGTAAAGACATGGCAGACGTTTAAACTTGAACAGATAAAAAATGGATGATGCTCTCAGAGAAGATCAAACTGGCCTAATTTTCAGGATGTTTACTGCTGTAAAACCTCTGAAACAGAATGTGCAGCACTCTTGACTTGACTCTTGCACTCTGTAAATACAAATGTTGATCACAATGAAGAACATATCTGTATTTCCACCTGTCACATTTTTGAAAACATGTACCCAGTAAAATGCTTTCTGCCTCATCCTCACATCCTCATTAGAATGAAAACACACCTCAGGCCTGTAATTAAGTTACAAAACGGTCAAAAAGCAATGCATCAAGACAGCAAGTGCAAGAGCAAACAACACAACAACAGATCGCATGACATTGCAGTGCAACATAACACAACCAAACACAACACAACCTCCAAGCAATCCTAAATGCACTGACTGTCAGGGTCATTTTGTGATGTTGTGTGTAAATACTGCAGGACATGAGTGCCCCCCCCTCTCTCCAGTTCTCCCGCTTGCTCTCTCTTTCTGTCTCTCGGGTTTGACAATTTGGGTTACTGTTACTGTTACAGCAAAAAGCATGTCAACATGCCATCACAGATAATTCACAGGTCATATTAACAGCATGAACCACACTTTGTTTTTTGTTGTTTTGTTAGCTTTGATTCTTTTGTTTCATAGAGTGACTGCATCTGTGCGACATTTACAAACAAGTACGAGCAGAGAGACAGATTTCCATCAGTGTCATGTAGTAAAAAAAAAAAAACCTACAATAGTTTACTATCAGGCAGCTGAACATCAGTTATATAATGACATTAGTATGAAACTCTTGGCCTGCAGCCAGCTCATTACAGCCAGTCACACTCTGTTCAACAGTCTAGACAACAAGTGCTGTTTGCACTGAAGACATGACTACACGAGAGGATCTATCTATCTATCTATCT